GAGAGGGAGGGGGGGAATCGGAGATGGAAGGGATGGGGAGGAAACCGACTAGGAAGGGAGGGGAGAACATACCTGCGGCGGCCGGCGGATGGAGTTGCAGCGCCCTGCGAGGAGTGTGGCAGCGCCCGAGTGTGAAAGAAACGGGAATGGGAAATGAGAGAAGAAGGAATGGGAATGGGAATGGGAATGGGAATACGGAGTTTTGTGAACAATGGAGACTCTAGAGATGTTTATAATAATACTTTCACATTTGATTATTCACATCATTGTTTCAAGAAACTAAATAGATTTACATAGTCATTCTTAGTTCTACATGAATTCTGAATTCGTCAGGTTTTGCTTACATAGTCAAGAAAATAAGCATTTAATGATAAAAATGTCGAATTGTCCTTTTTAAAAATAGGATATACACATCACATATTTTTTCATAAATTTATTATTAGATCTTCTACTTTAAAAGTCTAATACATTTTATTTTTTCAAAACATCGATAAAATTAAAAAAAATTAATAGATATAATTTGATTATGTAAACAAAATATGTATATTGGTACGTTTATTTAAAAACAAAAAATTTATACAAAACTAATGATCATTATTGAATAAAGTACCAATGAAAATAGTTTTAATTAATAAAACATTATAATAAAAAATAGACTTATTAAATAATGATATATCATTAGAGAATATATGTGTGGCAATGTGTGTGTGTGTGTGTGTGTGTGTATATATAATACGGAGTATATTTTACAATGATGAAATATATTTTTATAAAATTGTTAAAAATGACATTTTTTATACAAAGTATAATTAAATAATTTTTTTAGTACTAAAATATAATATTTATTTAATGTAATAAAATAAAATGTGTTAAAAGATCCTTTTAAAAAATTAAATGGACTAATGACATTCATCCATCTCAATGCATATGTGGATGAACATGTGACATGCCACACGTCAACACTCTAAGAGATAAACCCAATTTTACATATATATATATATATATATATATATATATATATATATATATATATATATATATATATATATATATATATATATATATATATATATATATATATATATATATCAAATTTTGATGTGAAAATTGGATTTAAAATCATTTGCTCTGATACCCAATTGTAACACGTTAATCCGTCAAGACCTGCAGCCTCTTTCACACTAAAGTATAAAGTTGGTAATCGTAAAATATAAAACATTTCAAAAACTTTTATTTATCACAATAATATTATTTAGAGTAAATTCCATAAAAGGTCTCCAGTTATAGATCATTTACATATTTAGTCCCTACATATCAAATATTATTAATATAGTTCCTAATTATAATATCATTTATCACGAATGGTCCTTTGTTAACGTTTTTGTTAAGAACATAGGTAAAATTATATATTTATATTGCTCTCTTCTCAATTAAGCTTTCTCCCTCCTCTCGTAATCCTTCATGAACTCGCCGCTGAGTTTGAAGCTCTAAACCCAAAACTGAAATGATCACTCCTCTCTCAATTATTAGTCTTCTTGGTGGAACATAAAATCAAAACCAATAAGCTTTGTGGATGAGTTTTATCGGTTAGTCTCAAGAAATTACAAAGAAAATAAGCATTAAAATTCATCCATGAAGATTACTGGTTTTGAATTTGGGTTCCACCAGTTAGACAAACAGTTGAGAGAAGAGTAATAATTTCAATTTTAGGTTAAATGCTTCAAACTTAGCGAAGGGTTTGGAAAAGAAGTGCGAGGGGATGGAGGAAGCTTAATTGAGGAAAGAAAGGAATGTGAAGTTACAATTTTATCCACGTTCTTAATAAGAATGTTAACAAAGGATTATTCGTGAAAATGAATATAATAATTGGGGACTAAATTAGTAATATTTAATATGTAGAGACTAAATATGCAAAACGACCTATAACTGGTGACTTTTTATGGAATTTACTCTATTATTTATAACAGAATTTTACTCCATCTTAAATTACATATTCACTATTTATATACTTAAATTATACTCCCTCTATCCCATTTTAAATTGTCTGTTTGCCTTTTTTCTCTGTCTCGAAATAAGTTGCATGTTACTTATTATCGTAAACTTTTATGTGTAAAATACCTAAACTATCTCTAAAATAAATCACTCTTCTCCACCTTATCTTCTCATTCATCGTCACCCCTCCTAAAAAGTAACGGCAATTTTGAAAAATTAACTCAAATTTTTATTTTTCTTAATTATGTTCAAAAGTCAAAACATGCGATTTAAAACGGGACAACTGGAGTAATCATTTTCTTTACTTATTTTTGTCACTCGTTTGATAAAATAACCCAGTTCCAATGATACTGAGTACCATTCAAGATGTTGTGCCGGCCTCTATCACTTTGGAACACTTACGATAATCCATTCGTAAAAATAATGGTTCTACTCCCTAACTTCTCCAATACCCCCCCTCACCCCACTCTAGCCCCTTCAATTTCATCCTCAAAAATTAAGTCAACAAATTTTTTGGATTCAATTGAAGGTTTTGGATAGTGATTCGAGCCGTGGTAAGGGCATTATCAGAGATATAATGAAAATAGAAAACATCGATTTTACGAACGTAGCATCACAGATGCTTAAATTGTGTCATCCATAGACACACTCAAAATAAGTGTCAATAGAACCTAACCGTGTTAATAAAATAATATAATTATATCACTTCTTATTTTGTATGGAGTAAAAATTTGTGTAATTTTTAAATATATATATTTTATTTTTTAATTACCCCACAATTTTCATATAAATTGATTTGAAAATAAATTTACTCAATTCTATGATATTTGGAATATATGTTTGCTCTATCATAAATATTTGATTCACAAACAAAATAATCACAAAACTCACAAACTATTTATAGGTTGAATTCCCATTTAAATTATTTTAGACTACTTTATTTTTTTATTGAAGCTCACAAATAGTAAATTTGTAAAATTTGTGACCATTTCATTTGAAGCATTCTCTTGTTTATACTTTATAAGCTACCGATGTAATATTCCCAAGCAATTTCGAAAATATCTTGAATATCGGGAAAGGAATATCTTCTACATCCGCTTTCCATAATAACTACTCCGTAGGATATTTGGAACAATTGCTTGGGAATCTTCAAAAGAAGAAAGTAATTAAGTTCTCCCTTCTTAACACCCCACTATTACAACATCACCCTATGATTACATTTCTCTTACATAGCCTTTACATTACAAATTGGTCTAACTATATACTACTACACATTACATCAATTGCATCCTTCTCTACAAAAAAGAGTCTGATTGAGGCTCAGGGACTTACACTACCTGCAGAGTACCATTGGAAAACAACACC